ACTACTGCTGCTGCTGCTGCTGCTACTGCTGCTGCTGCTGCTGCTGCTGCTGCTGCTGCTGCTGCTGCTGGGGGGCTTGTCCCTGTCTCTGCCGTCCGCGTCTCCTGCTGTCTCCTCTTCGCCGTCATAGACAAATGCGGGACAGAGAAGCTCCCAGCTGCAGCAGCAGTCTTGGCTGGCGGCTTCGGGGGCTGCAGCAGCTGGAGCAGCAGCAGGAGCAGCAGCAGGAGCAGCAGCAGGAGCAGCAGCAGGAGCAGCAGCAGGAGCAGCAGCAGGAGCAGCAGCAGGAGCAGGGGCCGTTGCTGCAGCAGGGGGTGTATGCTGCTGCTGCTCGCCGAGGTTATTTCTTTCTCTGTCGCCGTCTTTGAACGTGTAGCTGCTGCTGCTGCTGCTGCTGCTGCTGGAGTTGCTGCAGCAAGAGCAGCAGCAGCAGCGCAGAGCCGCAGGGGGCAGCAAGACTCCCGATGCGTTCGGCTGCTGCTGCGGCCGTGCAACAGCAACACGGATGCTGCAGCAGCAGCGCTGCCCCGAACGTGGGCCCCCTGGGGGGTGAGCAGCAAGCAGCAGCAGCTGCAGCACAGCGCCACAGACTGTACGTGCTGCTGCGGAGACGTCTATAAAGAAATCGTCCAGACCCAGCCGCTCTACAGGACGTTCTGCTGCTGCTGCTGCTGCTGCTGCTGGTGTTGTTGTTCTAGCTGCTGCTGTTGCTGCTGCTGCTGCTGCTGGTGTTGTTGTTCTAGCTGCTGCTGCTGCTGCTGCTGATGGGGATGGTGATGATGGTGCTGGTGTGTGTGTTGCTGAGGCCGCTGATGATGATGAAGCTGCTTGTGCTGCTGCTGCAGGTGGTTTGGGGTTTGCTGCTGCTGCTGCTGCTGCAACATCAGCAGAGACTGCAGCCCACGCATGGCGAGCTACAGCAGTCCTGCGGCAGCAGCAAGAGCAGCAGCAGCAGCAGGAGTAGGAGAGCGTCTTGGCCTGATCCCGTTGCTGCTGCTGCTGCTGCTGTTGCAGTTGCTGCTGCTGCTGCTGTTGCTGCTGCGTCGCTGAGCAGCAAGAGCGGGGAGTGTGTGTGTATGGTGTTGCTGCTGTCCAGGGTGTATGCTGCAGCAGCAGCAGCATCTGTCTCGATATATTTCTGTATTTATTGAGGTTTTCTCCCTCAACAACAAAAAGTGAAGGACATATGCGTGTTGCTGCTGCTACAGAGAGCCCCTTGAGCTCCCCATACACCGCCCGGGTGTACAGGCAGCTCGATACTATCAACTGCTTCTGCCGCACAGCCAACGGCCTCAGCCGCAGAGAAGGGTTTATAAGAGTTTCTGCTTGTGCATAGAAACAGTCAACGTCAATGTGAGATATGCAGCGACACCGAGACCAGCAGCAACAGGTATGGGGGGGGAGAGAAAGAACACACACACACATTCTTCTTGCTGTTGCTGCTGCAGCAACAACGAAGAAAACACACAGTACAAACAATACCAATATATCAATATATATACATGCATGCATGCATGCATGCATGCATGCATGCATGCATGCATGCATGCATGCATGCACTGGCGATGCTGGGTTTTCAGTTGCTTTTCTCTTTGTTTAATAAACTCTCCTTCTTTGTGTTTACGGGTTGGCCCCGCATATATATTTAATACACATGTAGAAGGAGACAGCAGAGAGGGGGGCCCCCAAAGATATCATGGGGGCCCCCCGCTAGCAACACGCGGGGGGGGGCCCCCTGTTGAGAGGCTG